TCTATCATGTACAGGCATGACTTCTAAAATTGTATTGTAAGTACAGATACAGACTTCATTTATTTTATCAGTTTAATTCAATAAAATTTTTCAAACAGGTGGCAACCCTCCTAACAAATACTTTCAGCAGTAAAATTTCCTAAGCCTCTTCAGTTTTATACCCATATTGCAATATTCACTTTGACCAATAAATTAAATTAAATTAAAATTTTCAAACAGGTGGTAGCCCTCAATAAATATTTTCGGCTGTAAGGCTTCTTAAACCTCTTTCTTTTGGCACCCATATTGCAATATTCACTTTTTCTTATATTTTCTTATATATATCTTTTTCTCTACATATAATGTACAGACATCGGCCTGTTAGAATTTTATTATATGTATAGATGCACAAATGATTACTTTTTCTTTGCGAAATTAATAGCAGCTAAAATATTGCATTATTTTAATGTAAAAAGATGGAAAACGTTAAAACAAGTGTAAAGGCAGTAAATAAAATGTTAACAAACTTGGCTTTCGTAAAACAGATTTTTCTGCTTTTTTGTATGTTTTGTATGATGAGTATATGTGTTTAGGTAGTACTCAAAAACATTGAGGTTTCAGTATTTCCAAATTCTCCACCGATATTATTTATATTCAGAATACAAATGCTGCTTTGTGACACATTTACCAAAAATCACTGGTAACTTCCTGAAAAGAATACGAACGTTTATAAAACTAATTTGTTAAAATAATGTTCAAAGCTGTATTCACTTTGAGTAAAAAAAAATCGAAATTTCAGTCCGTAAGTTCTCTCAAGGATTTGCCTTTTTGCGAAGGCGCTAGTGTATTTGTAACATAGATAAAATAGCATGAAAAATCGCATTGTTATGATTCCGTAGAATTTTTTTTTTTAATCTTTTAATGCAAATTTTTTAAGCTTAAACTGTTTAGTCATGTGAGGTAATTTTTTACAAAAAATATTTAAAAAAAACAGGTTTTATTAATAAAAAAACTAAATTTTTGGAGGTATTTTCAAATCGGTCCAGCTCACGTAAATCTTAATATTTTTCCGAGCTATTTTGATGGAAGTCGTAAAATATAATTGATTTTATAATTCCAGTACCGATTTTTTTTGTATGGGAAGTGATGCAGTCTAATGTATATACATACGTATACAACATTGATATTTCAATTTAATAAGTGCTACTTTGGACTAAGTAGGCAATTCGGATGTAAAGTCCTCTCTCATCGTACGAAAACCATACTCTAAGCCCCTCATCAAGCCCGTGCTGGTATATGTGGCAGAAGTACGGAAAATTACAACATCCGATGAGGCGGCTCTAGAAGTATGCGAGGGAAACGTTTTTCGGAAGATTTATGGGCCTTTATGCAAAGGCGACGGCGAGTACCGCAGACGATGAAACGATGAGCTATGTATATGAGCTTTATAACGACATGCACATAGTGCAGCAAATTAAAATACTGCGGCTCCGCTGGCATGGCCATGTCACTCGAATGGGCACCGACGCTCCAGCTCTTAAATTATTTAACTCGGAACCCGCTGGTGGTAGCAGAGTAAGATGAAGGTCTTACTGCGATGGAGAGACCAAGTGGAGAAGGACTTGGCTTCACTTGGACTGGCGTGCTTTGTTGAACTCGGCCAAAATCGTTTGGGCGGTTACAGCTAGGGTTACCAACCGTACTATAATATATAGTATTGACACAACAGATAATGCCACTTGCTCGTCAGGATTACCGATCTCTATTCCTTTTAAATAAAATACGAATTGTCTGTTAGCTCTAGTACTTTAGAATGTATATAATATTATTTATTGAAATGACTATAATTAATTGGAATATATTTAATGACAATCACGACTCGCAGACGATGTTGACTCGACGGGATCACACGAACGACTCCCTATTTTCTCGCTCGTCTCTTGCGTTGCCTCATACTCAGGCAGGGCTGCCATGTCGGCTGACAATTCGGCCTTTCCTGACACCAAATCGTCCTCGATTTGATTCGGGTCATCGTCGTCTGACTGATTAAAGTCGTCTAACTCGGGCGCATTACGACACCAGGGCTTAATCTTGTCGATGCTGAATACAGAACAAAACTTTCGATTCGTAATCTTGATACCGGGTATATCTTCTACCAGATATCGGTCGTTTCCCAAGTTTCGGGTGATGACGTATGGACCACGAAACTTAGGTTCTAATTTTCTCGAGTCGCCGGTTACTGCAGGTTCATTTTCAATAACGACGAGACTACCTTCAGCATACACTATGGGTTTGCGATGCTTCTCGTCGAAATGTTGTTTCCACTTCTCACGCTCTTGAGTAATATTAAGAAGCGCTTTCTGTCGTCTTTCGTCGATTTGTTGCGGATTAGGCGAAACATCGGTTGTTTCGTGAATAGCGGCAATCAGTCGATTTTGTACAATGTCGCGAAGACGGAAATCGAAGATCAGTTCATTTGGCGAGTAACCAGATGTATCGTTTCGTTGTGAGTTGATAGACCACTGGACGTTACGCGGTATACCATCCCACTCTTTCGGTTTCTCGGTTGTTGTGCGAAGATAAGTCAAAATTGTTTGGTTGGCTCGCTCAACCTGACCGTTGGCTCTCGGCGTACGTACGGCGTTTTTAACATGTTGAATGTAATTCACGTTACAGTACTGTTCAAATTGTTTAGAGGTAAAAGCGGTACCTCGGTCGCTGATTATTTTGGCAGGCAACCCAAAATAACTTGTCATCTCGTTTAAGGCGTTTATTACTGGAGCAGTTTTCGTATTTCGTACCGGCTTAACAACCAAATACTTTGAGAATGCGTCGGATATTGATAAAATATAGCAATTACCTCGGCTGCTTTTTATGAAAGGTCCCAGATGATCCAAATGGTATGGGTTCAGNCATGCTGCTAAGTAATCTTTAACGTATTTGCGAATTTTTGGAAACCAAAAATGTGATCTTATTCGTTGAATTGTTTTGTCGGCAGCAAAATGTCCCATGTCGTCGTGACACGAGTGAACGATTCTCCAACGTACGGAGTTTGGTACCACAAAACGTAAACCTTCTTTGGTGCGACGATATAATCGATGATCTTTTAATTCGTAATCTTTCCGGATCTGGGTTTCTTTATCGGATATTTTCTCTTTCTTCAGAACACTTACTAGCGACGTTAACATTGGGTCTTGCAGCTGCATAGTTAACAACCAGTCGTCGGACGTAGCGGTAACTTTCATGACCAGTCCGGCCGTTTCGACGTCATTCGGAGGCTGATCTGGTGCGCGGCTCAAAGCGTCGACATGAGCCATACGGGTTTCTTGACGATAAACGGTGTCGAAGTCGTACTCTAAGAGTTTCATCCACCATCGGGAAATTCGGGATTTTAACTCTTTACTTGCTTTGACTTTTGCTATGGCGGAGCAATCCATCACCAACTTAAACTTTTTCCCCAAAACATACATTCGAAATCGTTCGAGGGACTCAACTACGGCGAGCACCTCGAGCTCATAAGCGTGGTATTTACTTTCTACCGGCGTACAATGTCTACTAAAATAAAATACAGGTTTCCATGCTTTGTTGTCGTTGGATTGAAGTAACACACCGGCCAGGCCGACACTACATGCGTCGGTGTGTACCCCATGCTCGGCCATCCTATCGTACAACGCGAGAACAGGAGCGTTGCTTAGGCGTTCGATCAAATCTTCAAATGCTCATTGTTGATCTTGACCCCATTTGAAAGATTCATTTGTTTTTGCGAGGAGTTTCGTAATGGGTTTTGAAATCGCGTATTCGGCCACAAATTTTCAATAAAACCCGGTTAACCCTAAAAAACGTCTAGTTTCGGTAATATTATTCGGTACATTAAAGTTTTTAATCGCAGTTATTTTGTTTTCACCCGGCTTAATACCGTTTTTATTTATTACGTGGCCTAGATAATTTATTTCTTCCGAAAGAAAATTACATTTTGTAAAACGTAATTTTAGTCCACTTTCTCGTAAAAGTTTTAAAAGCTTTGTTAACCGCGATAGGCCTTCGTTCACCGATTTGCTTGGAATTATAACATCGTCCAAGTATACTAGTATTTCATCAGGATTCATTCTCGCGGCTATTTTATTCATCACTTCCTGAAACACGGAAGGTGCATTTACAAGACCGAATGGCATCCGGTTGTACTTGTAATGGCCATCCGTTGTTACAAAGGCAGTGAATTTCTTCGATGCTTCTTCCACTTCTATTTGGTGGTATCCCATCCTTAAGTCTAAAGTTGTAAAATATTTGTTACCGGATAATTGTGCAAAATGTTCGTCGATTATTGGCATGGGATATGGGTTTTTCTCCGTAATTTTATTTAGACACCTATAGTCTACGCATAATCTAGATTCACCATTTGATTTTTCCACCAATACCACCGGAGATGCGTAAGGTGAATCGGATTCTCGAATAATTTCATTTAATAAAAGTTCAGATACGATATCAGACACTATTTTAGCAAATGGCACTCTATATGGTTTCATACATATCGGTTTAACGTCGGTTAGTTTAATATTCATTTTCGATACTGTGCATTCACCTAATTCCGATATAGTTTCAGCAAAGACATCGCGGTTTGCTTGTATGATAGATTTTAATTTGGAACGTTCATCCAATGAGATATTCGATATTGCTTCTAATTTTTCAACCGTACACTTATCATTTTCGATCACCAGTCGTTTGCCATTTTGACAGAATACGTCTCTGCCAAGCAACACATCTTCATCGATGTGGTCGTTATCAACCACCAATAACTCTGCTTGATGTCGATCGTTATCAATTTTGAGTGAAACTAAAATTTTCGCGGTACATTCGTATATGCCACCTGCAAATCCTTGCAACACCCGCGCACAATTAACAGTGTTACCAATTTTCATTGCTACTGAACGACGGATTAGTGAACACACACTACCAGAGTCTATTATGGCTTTTGTTTCGTGTCCGTTGACTTTAATTTCTTTAGTTAATTAAAATTAGCTTTATTTATTTCATCGTCATTAATTTTATTAACTTTAGTATTTGAATTCGTTTTATCTTTTGGTTGTTTACAATTTGCTGCTTTATGGCCTGTACGGTTACATGTTTCACCTCTTTCCGCTCGCTGCGGCTGTGGGCATTTTATTGAAATATGTTCCGCTTTTAAACAATTATAGCATTTTATCGATTTAGGTATTTCACGTTCACCTACTTTAGCGTTTGTTGATATTCCGCGTTCATCAACATTTTTCGATTGGTTTTTATACGCAGCCATATTTTCGACGATTTTCGGTTTATAGTTAAGCGGTTCGTATTTTACTTCATTGTACACCGAATAATTTTGAATATCGCGTAACAACTTATTACAGTTTTCGTATTCATTCGAGATCTTTTTACGCAGATCTGAATCGTTAATGCCATTTACAATGTAACGCGCGATACCGGACTCAGAAATCCCACCTTTTTTCCCAATCGAAACCATTTTAAAATAATANGAAAATTCCACCTTTTTTCCCGATCGAAATCATTTTAAAATAATATTCTTGTGGGGTTTCGTTACGCTGCCGACGAGTTCAGTTCATTTTAATATGTATATCAGCGACGTTCTCATTCCTTGAGAAATCAGCACAGAATTTCGCGACGAATTCTGACCACGATTTAAATATGCACTGGCCGTCGATCCAGAATTTAGCATAACCTTTCAGTTTTTGTTGCACGGCAAATAAGAGTACTTGATCACCCCATTGGTACGCGGCACGTAACATTTCAATTCTCTTTACAAATTGATTCGCATTTAGTGATGTCTCGGATGACGGGTCAAATTCGGGTAAAAGGGTAACCACTTCACTCACTTTGCTAAACGGATTTTGTAAATAGGCATTTGCAAATGGATAGTTCGGATAATATGAAGCGTAGATACTATTCGGTTGCACATCGTTTCGCATATTTTGTTCGTTATAAAATCGTGTATTCATAAAACTATTTGTACCATTCGCTTGCGCTTGTGCCTCTGCAAAATTTACGTGTGGAGTGTTATTTACATTTTGAACATTCTCACTATTCCAATAAGAACTCTGTTCGAACTGTGTACGTTGAATATACGGGTTTCCATTACTAGCCATTGGCACATACGGTGCTTGTGTGGTAGTGCACATTCGCGGTGTATGTATGTATGATAATGCTACGTTAGCTGGCGGCGCATGCGTAGAAGACGTCGACACACATGTATTTGCACTCGTTGCATGACATGACCGACGGACGAAAAGCTGGCTCTCTTCGAGATTGGCAGCTTTGTATTTGCACTTCACGCTCATTTTGCTTTTTCTGCGTTTGGCACTCGGAAATTGTTTTTTCTAGCATGTTGATTCTTTCTAACAACATCGATTCGTTTGCACTTACAAATTGTTCGTTCATATTCGCGTTTGCATTTTTATTTGCTTCTAATAATAATAATAATAGATTGGCGCTTACACATATGTTAGTGTTTGGCCGAGCTTCTCCTCCGATTTGTGGCGTGCGCCTTGATGTTGTCACACAAAGCGGAGGGACCTACAGTTTTACGCCGACTCCGAACGGCGATTGTATTTTTATGAGAAGCTGTTTTTCATGGCAGAAATACACTCGGAGGTTTGCCATTGCCTGCCGAGGGACGACCGCTGTTAAGAAAAAACCTTTTTTATATTTTTTGCGATGTTGCTTTGACCAGGGTTTGAACCCAGGCGTTGCGGAGTGGAAGCGCGCACTGCTTACCACTACACCACAGCGGCCGACATTATTTGCTTCTAGGCTGCAAAAGTTACCAAATCTTCACTACCAAAATCTTCACTTCTTCACTGAGAAAAAAAAATACTGAATAAAACAGCTATATTTCTTAACAAATGTGTATATACTTACAGCCAGTTTCTGTGACTTAATAAATTCAATATTTTTATAATTTGTCGATTTTTGATTATTTGTCAAGAACTCCCAGTTCTAGCACAGAAGTTTAAATCTGTTTTTTGATAAATTATCAAGATTGAAAATGGCATTGACAATTATATTTTTTTTACTAGAAAATATTTTGCTATCATTTAACTACTGCATGTGCCGTTATTCTCATTTTCGTTGTTGGTATTTCCGACAGGGTAGGAGTATAGTGTAATGTGGACCGATTTTCCATCATCCCTTGTCAAATTTGGTTTGGAGACATATCGGTTTGGGCGTTGTGCCATTTTCAGTATCGTTTTTCGTTCGGAATGTGCCGTTATTTGGACCTGCAACTCACGGAATAATGGCACCGGTACACAAAAAAAAGTTGCGGATGCTTTTAACCATCCATTTAACTCGTACAAAATTTCGAGTAAATTGCGAAAATTGCAAATTTTTTTTGCTATTTTTTCGGTTTTTCATAATTTAGTGTACGTGTCAAACGGGCCTCAGATTTGGATTCAGTGGGTAAATACATGTCGGTAGGTGGGTCTAATAAAAAGCACGCGACTTTCTTTTCGTGCCGAAATAATCAAAACGATTTAAAAAAATGTGAGATGGTAGAATTGAAAATTTATCGTTAAAATTCGAAAGTTATTTTAGAAGGGCAGCCCTTGGTGCTGCCACTGTAATTCAAATATTTCCAGTATTCGAATATGAGATGAATCTAATTTTATCGAAGTAACTTTGTAGAAGTGTCAGTAGTGCTGCCATGAAGAGTTTTTATAATTACGCAAATGTAAAACATAGTTCATTTCTTTCTAGTATTGCAAATAGATATTTAGTTCCAAAAGTTACCAAAATGAAACACAAGTTACCAAGTTACCAAAGGGTTTAAAAGTTACCAATTTTGGTAAAAAGTTACCAATTGTGGCAACCATGCTCACCACTTTCCCCTAAAATTCAAACGATTTACAAACACATTCACAACTTTTTAGTCATCTCACCCACACACTTACAAATTTTTTGTTCGAACTGTCAAAAAATGTCCCTTTGTTAGAGCTACATACCCGATAAGAATTCGTACTCTAACAAGAATTCTATGCGTTAGAGCGAGAAAGTTAAAAACATCAGAGTTTTGATGACAGTATACATACTGTGAAGAAATGTCACTACGAAAATTTTGAAGGTAAGAATACGTATTTAACAATTTTATTTAATTATAATGTAATTTCTTCTTTTATATTGCAAAATAGCAGCGACTTGGTCACATTCCTAAGGTATGTATTGAGACTTTTTATAGGTTTATAAATTTTAATTGATATTTTTGCTTGTTTACAGATTCACTATCAGCACCTTCAACGCTTGCATCTTCATCGCCAGGAGCACCATTAGAACCTTCTGCACTCAGCTTCTTCATCGCCAGGAGCACCACCAGTACCTTCTACCCTCAGCTCCTTCATCGCCAGGAGCACCATGAGTACCTTCCGCCCTCAGCACCTTCAACGCCAGGAGCACCTTCAAAGTGTAGGTCCAACTTGTCAAATTTTGCAAAGTTGTAAGAAAACTTAATTTTTCTGAACCACCATAAATGATTTGCAACTGTTAATATATATCAAAAGAAAGGTAAACCGATTACCTTTCTTTTGATTATAACACCGTTAAAATTGTTTTACGTTTTCATAAAAACTTTGCAACTTTTATAAACAGCTATATAACGGGTGATTTTTTTGAGGTTAGGATTTTCATGCATTAG